CCAGGGGGGATGGTCATGCCGCAATCCCTTCTCCATTCTCCTCTCGGCATCCTGGGCATGCACGCACACATGCCCGACGTGCGTCTCAAGCCACCGGGTCCGGGACGCGAACCGCGGTCAACTACGTGGGAGTCCAGTGACATAGCCATCACGCTAACCGCTGGGTCCCCGCACAGCTGTTTCTTAATATGCATTTTCCATGGACTTTTTGAAGACTCCTCTTAATTGAACCATACCTGTATTAGTCTAATTTCACGATTTTGTCTTTAATACTCTAACCTGTGGGAAAATTAAAACATGGAGGAAAGAGATTACGCCACAATGTCCTCTGGCCTATCACATGGACAGGGCGAGGTGGCAGCAGCCAGCAGAGAACCAGGTGAGAGCACAGTGCTCAGGTTCCAAGCTGATCTGGGTGGCCTACCCCTGAGGGAACCCTGCCTTCTGTGTCTCCTGCTCCCTGGATGCAGAAGGAACCAACCGTGGTGAGGCCCCTGAGGGACAGCTAGCTGGAGAGACTGTGTCCTAGGAGTGGGGGGGTCCATTGGTGAGGGGGTCTCTCTCTGCTTGCTACAACAGCTGTGCTTGCTAATTGTGCTGGGAATAGAGGGGGCTAGTCTGGGAATGGGAGATCGGGGCCTTTCTGAAACCTCATGTGCTACTCTAGCCCTCTCTGCCATGGAGCATCAGAAAAACAAAAAACAAAAAAAACATAGGAAGAAATCCGTGAAGGTGAGTGGGAGTGATTCTAAGGAATGAAGCATGTATTAGAGGATGGGGCTGGGGAGAGTCTATGCACATGGATGGGGTGGGTGGAGTTTGCGTTCCCTACTGGGCAGAAAGAGAGCCAGAGACACCTACCAGGGAGGTGTCTACCAACCCAGCCGAGCCTAGATCTTTTGCAGCTTTCTTTAAAATGTGCTGCCCCCTGGTGGTCAGGATGCAACACCAGTTCAGATGTCAGCTGAGAGCGTTCTCCCTAAAATTTCTTAGAGCCCAGTTATGGGTCTCTAAATACTATTTCCCTCTAAAAGCAGGACCCAGGAGTCCTTAGAGAATTGGTTAAGTCTAGGCTAGGACTGGAAGGTAAACCTGGAACTCCTTGTTAGGCCAAAAATGATGGGAACACAGCCAAAGAACACAGGAGCCATTTGTGTGCATTGAAATGAATTATGATAATAGACTACACTCTTTTCTTTTAAGTTTTTGCCACAGGGTATATGCTCTCACTAGAGACACAGTGACAGGGGAAGTGAGAAATAACCCCCCCCCAGGGGGAAGGAGGGGAATGACCACACCACAATCCCTTCTCCAGTCTCTTCCTGGGATTTTGGGCATGCGTGCACATGCACCCGGTGTGAGTTTTAAGCCACCAGGTTCAGTACTCCAAGTGTGGTCCACCATGTGAGAATCCAGCACCTTAACCACCACAGCATCTGCTGGCTCCAGTATGTATTTTTTTAATTTGCTATAGGGCACATGCAAAGGGGGGAGACAAAGAGAGAGAGGGGTAAAGTGAGAAATCATCCTTCCGGGGGGAAGGCCACACTGCATTCTCCTTTTCCTCCACTCTCCTCTTGGGATTTGGGCATGCGTGCACACAAGCCTGCTGTATTTTTCAAGCAACCAGGTCCAGGATTTGAACCACACAGTTGGCTGTATGGGATCCAGCTGCCTTAACCACCATGCCTCCGATGCCCCAACAACACATTGAATAAACAGGAATCTACAAGCACCCAAGCTGATGATTAGCACATATATACATAAAATCCCATACATTGGGAAAAAGGAAACTTCTTAACAATAAAATGTCAACTAATAGTCATGGAAGAAATGTGGATTTAGAAAACAAGCATTTGTGGGGACCAGCAGTTAGCGTAATGGCTGTGTTGCTGGACTCCCACGTAGTCGACTACGGTTCGAGTCCTGGACCCGGTAGCTTAAACTCACGCCGGGCGCGTGTACGTGGATGTCCAGGATCCTGAGAGGAGAATGGAGGAGAAGGGATTGCGGTGTGGCCATCCCCCCGGGGGGTGATTTCGCGCTTTCTGTCTCTCTCTGTCTGTCTGGCGAGCGTACATGCCCTATAGCAAAAACCCCCCCAAAAAAAAATGAAAAAAACCACCACAAAAAAAAAAAAAAAGAAAAAGAAAACAAGCTCTTGTGGGGCCAGCCCTGTGGTCTAGTGATTGAGGGAGCCAAACTTCACATGGCCGACTGCATGGTTCAAATTCTGGGACCTTAGAGGCTTGAGAAACACACAGGGCACGTGTGCATGCACATATGTTCAAAATCCTAACAGGATGGAAAAATGGAGGAGTAGGGATTGCAGTGTGACCATTTCCCATGGGGAGTGCGTTCTCCTTTCTGTCTCTGTCTCTCTCTGGAGAGTGCATACCCCCTCTAGCATGTATGCACACATGCATAAATTCCTATTGTTTAAGCCACACAGTTTGTGGTATTTTGTTACAACAGCCCCAGAAGGCTGATGTGCTGGCTGAAATAAGAGTGTGATGGGTGAGGCTAGAGCAGCCGTCAAAGACCATGAGAAGAGGGCAGAGGAATAAGAGAGGATTGTAAAGGATTGTAAACTGGCATACCAGTGCTGGACCTCCTAGCAGGGCTCGTAGGTGAAAGAGAAAAATTCTTTTGGATATTGCTTAAGCCCTCATTATTTTCTGGAGGATTTTATCATTGTTCAGCAACTATTCACTTTCTTTCCTCCTTCTTCATATGGGAGAGGTAAGCTTCCCTTGCCTCATTGAGAGATAACAGGCTTGGCCACGTCACTTGCTTTAGGCCATGAAACATGAGCAGACTGTGTGCAAGTCATGCCCAAACAGACTTTCAAGGTGCTTGCATGGTTGGACTTGGTCTTTGGGGTTTCTGCCTTCCCCTACAAGAAGAGCACGCCCCAGGTAACCACTTCTCCTTTAGCCCAACTCCTGGAACAAGAGACAAAGGGAGAGACCTGAACCCTACCCACGGCCTGAAATAGATCCAACCAGGGAATGTGCAGAGCCATGGGAAGAAAGTAAATGTAAGCCATTGTGATTTGGGGCTTGTTTGTTACACATGTTAGCTACAGCTGACAGATACAGATGCTCTCTGTATGATAGCAGAGCCTATATCCTAACTAAAACGAGGAATGAAAAACGTCCCTTTTGGGACCACAGTTGGCACCATGGCTAT